ATTGCCTTCAATGCATAACTCCTTTTCCAACCCCCCCCCCACTTGACAGCCCACTGACAGTGCTGGATTTATGCACCAATTTATCAGCTCCCGCCTGCAATTCGCAGCAATCTACCCCTCCCCCCAAACCATCGGTGAACGAAACTGCGGCAGCTACAACCACTGTACGATGAGTACGCGGTTCTTACAGTTGACAATGATGATGATGATCGTGAAGGATTGTCCACATAATTTAAGTGAGCACGCAAATTAAACTTTTGCCCACCTCAGTCCAACGACCGGCTTTTTCCGTGGTCCAGTCAAGTCTTCGCCTAGAGCTGCATTCGACTCAGCTGGTTTAGGCAGTTTAAACCAAAGATCTCTCCTGAACATATATACACGTATCTGTTCTAACCACATTACTTCCAGTATCTATCGTTGGACTGCTATTACCACATCAGCTCAAAAGAACCCTGTTGAGAGCATATCCACTACATTGGCGTACATGAAATTTTGGTGTGCATCCCCATAATGATGGGTTATTCGGTTAAGGACAGAACACAAACCCATTCCGAAACGAATTAGACAAGTTTGATCGAGTCCTGAAGTGTACGCCTCGATACACAACTTTTGTACGCGCTACCCCGCGTCAATGTATTTCCAAAAGTCCAAAAATTAATGGCCAGTGGAACGAACGTCAATGAGTTCCTGAGAAATTTAACTGCAGACAAGTTGGCTTCAGAACTCAGCGAATTAGGATTTGTGCCGCATAAACAGAAAAACGGCTTTCAGGTCAAATGGTACAACACAAAGCCATTTAATCTACCGATGTTCCGAGATAACCATAACTTAATATTGACTGAAATCCGAATGGACTAGAAATGAGTGTATGCTAAATGGAATTTTTCAATACGGACCCGCCATATCAATGGAAAAGCACCGAGAAACTTATCATCAAAGACAGGAAAATCAGTGTTGACAATGATATCTCACCCAGAAACTAGCACATTTGAAATGGCAGACATCTCATCTCCCTGCAAAACGAGTGGGGAAACGATAGAAGAAACATATGGGAACCCACCATTGGATGTCGAGCAATGAACTACATTTCTGATCACAGGTATCCCCGAAGCATTGGTCAGGTTTGGAGGGAACATCGGATTAGCAATGCTGGGGTACGCCAGACGGTCTTATAAGAAGGGACTCTACCAGGATCGATGAATCATTCACGCAACGAAGTATGACAACACTGACCAGTAAGCTCGGCAACTGCCGCATTCCTGTATTGGGACCCCGGGAATAAACCAAGTGGCAAAACTGGCCCAATCGTACGGTCATTGCATCAAAGCTCGTAGTTTTGACCCACGAGCGATAAGTATCCCTGGAAGTGCAGATATCCAGTTGCCAAACTTGACACACGACCGCCTATGATGCTTGGTTGTTTATACCACGCTCTCTCACTACATGGTGGTCAAAACTGTAGCAGCCGAAACAAATGTACACATGGTACATTGGTTTATGGATAATAAATCGAAGTGAATTGAATGTTTCACTACAAATGTCTCCAAATCACTTAATCACCGTCCTGGCATGCTATGACGGCAAAGTTGGAAGGGTTAGAGGAGGTCGCATAAGCGATCGTTCAAATGCAGCTTACAGTCTCAATTGGTGCGATCCGTATCAAACCCGGTGCGAAATTGTTACGCTTTTGCAGCTGAAAACAGACAAATGTGGCTAGCACGGTACAGAAATTGGAACAAAACTTTTATGAGCTTCACTTTTTGACAGAAAGACGATACCCGGAAAACAGCTTCTGATGCTTACCAAGTGGTCCCACTAACTGGGTGAACAAAGCCGGCAACCAGCGCAGCGATAAAAATACTGACCGCAACTGCAAAGGAAAATTGTAACTCTATACTTTTTTACAAACCTTCAGGAAAGATTTCCGCCTGAAAACCCTTACCAAAAATCAGATTTTCTGCGTTGTTGAGCGCCTAAGTGGAGGAATTAGGAGAAAAACCGAGTACCGTAAGGATTAGGACAAACAATATACTGCCTAGGAAACCGCCAAGGATTGTCAACGATTTAGAAGAGCACAGCCATTCTTTTATCAGTCGCATACCAGCGAACAAAATAATGGAAAACAGTGATGACATAAGGCACGACAACCCCGTGCTCATTGCCATTGTGGGAGAACGAGTAGACAACTCTAACAGTCTACCAATAACAAGCAGGCTACGTAAGCACGCGCTCGATTGGCTAGTTTCACTAAATGCTTCGATGGGTTTATTAGGGCAGCAGTTTAGGTCTTCGGTGGGCAGTTCAGCCACAACGCCAGGAACTCGTTAAAGCCGCACTTCAGGTTCATCCCTTGCATTCCGACCAAATATCAATGTTTGGATCACAGATCAATACACCGATTCGAGGTTTTCGCCAGATCTTCCTGGGTCGAGTTTGCACTCGCTGCTTGGCGGCTTCCGTCGCTAATCCTTAGCCGGCAAATGCATCCCTCCCTCCAAACCGCTGCGTACTCCATGCGCAAACAAAGATGCCAACATAATCAACTTTGTCTTTTGAAATCTGTTTTCAATAATCGGCGCGCAGTTGCAGTTTCAGCGCAAGGACTCGGCAAGTTGGCTTCAGATATGTTACTTGATAAATTGGCAGCATGTTTCATGGCATTCGACGTGGTGTTAAACGAATGCTTGATAAGCATTGTGCGGTGTTTGTGCACCCTGTGGGGAAAAAGCATCATCTCTGATTTGCGCTACGGTCGGATGTACTACACATGCGGGAATCGGTCAGCGAAAACTGCGCTACTCTGGAGAACCTAGGGAAGTTAGTGAGTTGCTAATAACTAGCAGCACGTTAAGCGTCGTTGTTCCAGTATGCTTTTTCTTGAAAGGACACGGAAACCCTTAATTGACCGGTATTATCATCTTAAATAGAACTAATGCAGACTCCAGATGTTTCTGTGGCTAATGTGCAAATTTACTGTCTAGAAATTCCCTGCTTCAAACTCGACCTCTGCATCCCGAATGCTCCTGCCTGCGCTTGATGAACCTGATGCCATATCAGCCCTCGTGCTTTTTTTCCGGATGGCGTCGAGCTAACCGTCGGAAAAGTGTTACACTCGAGCAGCCATTTATGTTTTTAGTGCACGATTGTGATATGGCTAAGTTTTCGTACGATGGACTTCCTGTGGATCGTCCGCTAACCGAAGAGGAATTGTGCACCTGCAGAGCTGACGCTTGAATTAATGCGGTACGCAGCCGATGAATTTGGTAAGGTCCTTATTACTCAAGATGTATAGAAGCACAACCGGAAGTGTTACCATCTCCGTTGAATATGTGATAGCCAAGCTTCCCCTGTCCGAAAGGTTGCATGTGTTATAGGCGCGGAGGAGTCACTACGGCCACAGGCGCCTTGCCAGAGCGCAGCAGATATCGCTGGTACTGCGCCTCATATTTCTAGTGAACATCCACAGTACGTAGACTACCAATCGATTTGGTGACCTTTTTGAAACAACCAATATGCGGCCTATAGATGCTAGCTGTATTTATTCTTGATATCAGATTGTGTGAGTATCAGGCGCCCCTGTGGAAAGAGAACTTCACATCAGCTGTTTGGTTTGTTTAGGGAAACGATGGATGAACAGTGTCAATTGAAGACGCTCGTCATGAACGAAATGGTGGCTCAACTTTGCGTGGTGATCAGCCACGATATCATGTTATACTATTTGCTAATTGGTAACGTTATCTGGAAGTATGCATGTATCATGTAACATGTGTGCATTTGGACAATACCACTCTGCGAATAGCCGACACATATACCACCACATGTTTCTCCTAGACAATGCCGTAATGCAATCTTTCCTTTTATCGTAATACTAACTCCCAGATCTCGGCAAGACCTGGAAGTGCTACGTTGCACTGATCCCAGATTTGTCACTTACCTCACAGCTCCCTGGCTGCATTTTACCCGCAAGTGGACGGCGCATGCACAATCCGGGATAGTCGGTGCCGTTTACCTGACCAACCACCGTCTGGAAAACGCCGATGGTCGCCTGAAATAGCGGATCCTCTGCTCAGACACTTAAAAAACCATACAGAATGTCTCGGTCCACTGAGTTGCTCATACGAGAATATGAAATGCGTATGTCATACTATTGTGACCGAACGAAATTCATGATGGTCAGACCATGTTCTTCACATGGTCTGCCTATGCATTCGTCTTCTCCATTTTAAGGCACTTGAGGCTGTCACCCTCTATTCCGCATCGACATCGTTTTGACGCCAACACGATGAGGTGATTCTGTGTTACCTTTCTCCTAGCCGATGGTGCAGACCCCCAAACGCTCCAAAACGATTGAAAGTTGTGCTGTAACCGCACATGCCCGTCAAGCCAGGTGATGTGTCTTACTCGTATCCTTTGGTTCTTGGTATTCGGAGAACACTCCGTTCCAAGAAGTAAAAAACGTTACTCGTAAATCTCTTCTTGGTTGACCGCTCCGCCGATCGGCAGCGGTTACCTGTTAACAACCTACCAGAGAAATGTAAATACCTTTCACATTTCCCCAAACCCCTTCATCACCATTCGATGCTCTGTGCAAAAAACGTAAGCACTTGGTGGTTAACTTTCGGAGCCAGAACTCAGAGGCCAAAAAGTTCATAACGCATTAGATTGTTCAGGGATAATATCCGCTTAGCCGAAGCTCGAAAGCTGTGACGGACGACCCAACGACATCGGCGGAAGATACTGCGCCCTCAAACAAAAAGGTCGTCTGGTGTCAGAGAATATGGATTCTGTGGGCTTCGTTACCTGCCGACTGGTCTCAACGACCACTGGAGTCCAAAGAATCGCTTGTAATATCGCGTCAATTGTTGCGAAGGTAACCTTGACCATTGTGCGGTTTCGATCTTCGGACAGTTCTCTAGGTACGTACGCGTACGGTTGTTTAATTTTGTCTTCTTCATCCCCGGTCCATTCTCTAGGCATACAGATGTGCTCGTCAAATCATCCACAAATGAGGAACGCCAAGATGTTCACTTTGGCCAAGGCAGGGAATCACAGCACGACGTGTCCCAGAAGACAATGTGCGTCTGCAACAGCTGAGAGTGCATAGCATGATAAAGCGTAACGATAAATACCAGGGATGAACCATGCGATCAGTCTATGGTTGATGCCCAGGCTCCGCCCAGCATCCGATGAGAGGTGAGCTATTGCGAGAATTGTGGACTTACTTCTCGGTTCTGGATTACTATTTTGTTTTGGTCAGTGAATTTCCAGGAAAGTTGAAGAGGACGCGTGAGATTGTTCAGTTTTTGACGACTACGGAAATATAAGATGTTTACATTCCCGCCTCGTGATTTGTAGCTGCCAATATCGCATTCGCCCGTAAATGGCTGCAGTGTAGGGCTTTCCTCGCTTCAGTTGTTGCCACGCTTCAGGCAACTACACAGTCTGTTTCAATCCATTTCAATAGACGAGAAAATAGAGCTGTACAGGTGTATCTTTGGGGTAGAATGGAGCTGAAGCTCAATGCAAACCGTGTGCAATAGCCTTCAGGACAATGTGTGGCTACCAACCGACCATTAACTGATTGTCAATACAGTCAATGCGCCTAGGCGACAGGTTAATGTACGACAGTTTTTGATCAGCTTGGACGTTGGGCAGACAGCGTTGAAAGCAGCTTTTCTCAAATCTGCGGTTGGACAAAATTGAAGAAAACTGATCATAAAGTATGGTCCAGCCAAGCCCGAAGGCATTGCAATGAGTAAACTTGCTGTCCCAAGGCTCTCCCCTACTGTACAGCCCGTAGTAAAGGAATACACTGATCTGATCACGAAAGAAGATCCGTTTGGCCCCTATTTGTGGAAAGAACAAGTAATTTTCCTCCCGTGCGAACGCTTGCTGATTTCATACAATTTGGGTACAATTAGAATATAAGGGTGACAGAAACAAGGAAACTACGCCCACCCCGAGCCTCTAGAAGGCCGGGGCCGGTTGTGGGATGTCGAAGAATTTTCAGCAACCTTATGAGCAGTGTATTAGGTTCAAGAGATGTTGGAAAATAACATAACTGAGCAAATCAACAGTGTACAACTTTCTAGTTTTCCTTCTGAAGAAGGAAAATGGAAAATACTGATTTGATGTGGCTGTACGGCGTGGAATTGAACTGACATACATTGTGTAGCACTGAAGCGCAGTTGAGAGCTGGTTTTCAGATAACTGAAGCCAAGACACAACTCGCTCGAAGTTCTGTGACAATTTTCGGGAGTTTAGTTCACTGCAAGTTGAACCGATGAAAACCCAAGCCTGTGCCGTCCCTAACGCGGAATGGTCAGTTTGGCAGCTTCTTGAAAAGCTGCATACGAAACCTGGTTTGTGAAAAGTTTCAGTACGGTTCCTGCTCCATCGTAGGATTTGCCGCACCAAAATCAGACGTTCGAATGGACAAGAGAAGCGCACGAGGCCTCTAAAAGAGACAAAGCCCCGGATGCTCGCTCAGCAATTAGTCTTAAAATTGTCCGGGGTCGAGAATGTTTATGGATACAACGTAAGCCAGCGTTTGGGGTGCCAATAAAATCCTGAAGCAGGAAAAAGATATCATCGAGTGTGCCGGATTTTTATTTGAACAACACTAATCAGAAGTGCCCAACTTTTGGGAAAGAATGTTCACCGATTGTCCGGGCCTTGACAACTGGAGGCCGCAATTTCTGGGACAAATGTTTCACCTCTAGGGTGATCACAAGACCGTTAAGTAGATTTGGACTGGCGGAGGTCCTGGTGGAATGTCTGCACGCATGACAAGAATATGACCCACGCGTATCAGGGGTGGAAATCTACCCGGCTGGTTGCCTATCCAGACTACACGCTGGATGAGGATCCAAAGATCATGCGAGGCACAAATAACATTGCCGTTAAGCTGGAACCAAGAAGGCTGGTGCGAATTCAATGGCAGGACTCTGTGTTCACCGATTCACGGATTAATACACAGGATCGAGCCTTTTGCCCAAATTTCCCGGGTCGGTTTTGTTCTTGTCGTTCGGCGGCTGTCGTTCACCTGAAACGCACAAGTTTAAAAGAGTGTAGCACTGCTCTTTATGTTCTCAGCGCGCGGTAGAATGCTTGCCGGCGCGAGCATTCGCATAAATAAATACCTAATAGTCCTTTAAACTGGGTTTAAAGAGGGTGGACAACCGTCGGAGGAAGGTCATTCCACGCAGCTACC